TGATGATCTTCTGTGTGCTTATAGCATTGTAAATTAGTAATGATCTTTCTGAAAAGATTTTGGCAAGATGTTTCAGTAGTCATAAAAATGTTTATGCCCCTGAGCCCACGAATCCCACTGCTGGGATTCTCTCCTAAAGAAATAAACTAGAATATTCAAAGATTGACTGCAACTTTATTTATAGTAGTGAATAATAGGAAGAAAGCAACGTATTAACAGTATGAAAATTATGTAAATGAAATTTTCAACTGAATTCCTTTTTAGTTGTGATTTAAAACTATGCAAAAGATATGCATGTGGAAAACGAAAAGGAGGGGAAATCCAAACTGATTATCATAGTTATGTTGGGATGGTGGAAGTAGGAGTTCTCTCTCTCTTCTTCTAGTTTTTAAACTTTCTATATTGATATGGTTGGTACCTCCACAATCATAACATTTTTATTACAGTACATTAGAGCATTCAATTGTTTTTCCTTGAAACATCATTTTTTGTTTTCAGTCTGTCATTGTCCAAGTAAAACCTGCCAGTTTTGTACGTGCTGAAAATTGTATACATCTTCCGTAGTGGCCATCTGATTTGGCATACTAAGTATATTTCTCTACTGAAAGTTGACATTTAATACTTAGATAATACTGTAGTTCAGATGACTTCAGGAATTCCTTTTAACTTCGGGCCTGTGTTTAAAGATCAAGCATAAAATAAAGTCTCTGATATCCAGCAATTTCACTTTTTTAAAACATGTTGAGAAAGAAAAAAATACACTGGACTAGAAATAGAAAGGCTCAAGAAGCTCTTGGAATTGTTTAGGGGTAAGCGAAGGTAATAGTAAGGGCTTGCGGTGTGGCAGAGGCGGTGGCAGCTCAAGAGATGGATGAAATGAGAAACAGTATAAAGAGTAACAAAGCTGGAGCTCTGTGAAAGTTGGATGGGAGTGACAGCGGGTGGTGGTAGTACACGGGTTTATAACTGGTGGCGTTTGAGATGACAGCAGCATCTCTGTGGGATATGGTTGCATGTGGACTAGAAATTAGGAGATATAAAGAGCAGAAACAGACTTAAGAGTCCTATTGAGGCAATGGTTAAAGCCAGGGGGATGCGTGAGGTCTCTGAAGGAGGAGAAGCCTCTTTGGGGCTGCCCACATGGAGAGATTGAGAGGATGAATACAGTACTCAGGAAGAGACACACAGGATTTCATGAGCATTGTCTGTTGTAGATTATAAACTTCTAATGGACAGAACCCATGTTGTCTGTCATATAGGAATTTCCACTGAATCAAGTAAATGTGTCGACTATGATTTTAAAAACCATGGTCTTGATGGACTCTGAAAAACAAACTGAGGGTTCTAGAGGGGAGGGGGGTGGGAGGATGGGTTAGCCTGGTGGTGGGTATTGAGGAGGGCACATTCTGCATGGAGCACTGGGTGTTATGCACAAACAATGAATCATGGAACACTTCATCTAAAACTAATGATGTAATGTATGGGGATTAACATAAGAATAAAAAAAAAACAAACCATGGTCTTTTTTAATTTTAGAAACCTCATTCAGTTCTTTATACAAAAGATAATTGTATAGATTTTTAAAATGTTCTTTTTTATTTATTGAATAATCAGCTGAAAGTTTGTCAGATTTTATGAAAATTTGTCAGATATGATAAAATCAATTCTTGAGCCTTGCTTTGGACAAATTTTTCAGAATTCTTTGAGATTTTCAAAATCCTGTGCATGTTAGTTCAACTTCTGAATTAGATTCATAGTAGTAAAACATTAATGACATCATTGTCTACAATTTAGCCCTAAAAGAGTGGTATTAAGGACATGGAGTGCTTTCTAGACACTTGACTACATTATTCCAGCTGATAGGATATTCTGAAATATGAGCCAGACTGATATAATTGCATGATCTGCCTTAGAGCTGTAGGGACCATAAGTGAGATTAGCTTTCTTAAATTTCTGGAGGCATCGGTATGCAGTTTGCCCAAGAGCATTTTTATCATGTTTGTGTCAGGGCATAATTTACCTTAAAACCTTAGAACACATTTTGATGATAATCACATTGGGTTAATTCATTTAGAGTTGGTACTTTAATTCTTAAATTTGTAGGCTTTGGAAAGATGAGTTATATACTGAAAGTATCTACATTTTTGTCATAAAAAATGAACGGGAATTAAGTATATTTGATAGTATATCACTACACTCCACAATATAACAAATAGTACATATAAGGTTATCCTGTTTCAGCCTGACAAGTCACCAGACACTTACATCATTCTGTAATAATTATCTGCGGCAGACTCCCAACTTCACACTAAGAAATACCATGCTTTTAGAGTCCCTTCACTCTGGGTTACTGTGGTATTATATGTAGCTGAAAAGCATCCTAGAATCCACATGGGTAAAGAGTATTAGAGCTTCTTGATAATGCATTCTTCTGCATTAGCTTCGCATCACCTTGTAATGTATTTGAGAAGAAATATTGCTTTATCCTTCAGATTTGAGTACAAATCAAGTAAATAAGAATCTTCTAAATGTTATCAAAGAGATTATAAACATTTGTGCCTATTGAGAGAAATGTTAATCTGTACTTGTTAATCCAACATTCTTTTAGTTTCTATTAAGCCTATTTTTGAAAAATTACTTGATGAGCATTTTATATTCAGATGACTTGCCTTAGCAGTTACCTCTGCCCAACGCATGGATGAGCTCTGCTCCACAGGGGTTGGCCTGGTGAAGAGATTGTTTAACAGCACTGCTTTCTGAAGCTCAACAGAATGCAGGAATTGCTCTGTGGGGTGTGGAAAGGAGATTCGCCCAGATTTAATACCTACTGTTTCAAGATAATGGAAGTAGAATGCAGGAAATAGCCTCATCAGGTTAACTGAAATACCAGTCCTCACAGCAAAAATTAAGTCATGTAAATGAATTAAAACTGGTAGGTCACTTGGTAAAAGTTTTGGAGAAAGCAGGAGGAGTGAGTTGGGTGAGAGTGAGGGAGGTGGTGGCAGAGAGGAAGACTGGTCATCTGGAATCCTGACAGTTTGAATGACAGCGACTGGAGAGATGCGGGCCAGTTCCCCAGGGCCACGCCTCACCACTCAGTTTTCTTTGTCCTTTGAAAATGGTACTGGTTAGGATCCAGTAACGTTGATTAGATCACATTGTCAAACGTCAATTTTTAGTTATTCATATAAATAATACAGCCAAATAACTAACATATTTTTCAAACTCTGTAAGCAGATATATTGAAGCATCCATTTTCTTCAGCTGATTATCTTCAAGTACTTAATCCCTCTCTAGTTACATTTTTTAAATTTTAGAATTCTATTGATCAGTTGCCTTTATTCATTATAATACTGTACCTGAAAATTTTTTATTTTTTTTTAAAGATTTTATTTATTTATTAGAGCGTGTGCACAAGCAGGGGGAGCAGCAGAGAGAGAGGGAGAAGCAGACCTCCCCGCTGAGCAGGGAAGTCCGATGCAGGGCTCGATCCCAGAACCCTGGGATCATGACCTGAGCCGAAGGCACACGCTTCACTGACTGAGCCACCCAGGCACCCCCTGAAAATGTTTTATAAACCACCAAACACTATAAGGATTGTAAATGGTTTTAAATAGGGCGCCTGGGTGGCTCAGTTGGTTAAGCAATTGCCTTCGGCTCAGGTCACGATCCTGGAGTCCCAGGATCGAGTCCCGCATCGGGCTCCCTGCTCAGCAGGGAGTCTGCCTCTCCCTCTGACCCTCCCCCTTCTCATGTGCTCTCTCTCAAATAAAAAAAAAAAAAAAAATCTTTAAATAATATTTCTGTCCCATTCAAGAAACTTTCAAAGATTTAAAATGTTCTGATAACCCAATACAAATGCTTTTTTTTTTTTATGTTATGTTAATCACCGTACATTACGTGATTGTTTTCTGCCATTAACTCATTGCAGCTCTTTGAGACGCATCATTTCACTTCTTGGCATGCAGTCTTCCCGGGGTGCAGTTCTCCTTTCCCTGTCACCTTTTTCCTCATTCTGGCTTTCTTCTGAATCTCAGAATGGCTCGAGAATCAAATGCTTCTTCCTCAGTCGTATTTGGAGGAATGCAGGAGTCTCCCTCACCATCATGTAACAGCTGCTTTACTTAGGATCCGACTGGACGTTCCCAGGTCCCATCATGGTGGTGAGGGAGAATGCCTGCGTACAGTGGCTCGGACTGTCCCCAAGCAGGGATTGATGGAGTCGGCTCACCCAGACCACATGGCTGCTACCCCTGAGGAGGAGTAGAAGGACTGCAGCCTCCATGAAAATAGGGATGATCTCTTACATTGATCTCCTAGCTCAACTGACACCCAGAAGTACTGCATATATAGAACATCACCACCGAGTACACACGTCCTTACTTCCTCTGAGAGAGAGAGACTGCTCTCTTAGAGAAAGTGGAAAACCAGGAATAGGATGATTAAAGTCAGACAAACCACAAATATTTAATGAAGACCTTACTGGCAGCCAAAGAAAAGCATGGCTAGAGGTGGAGCAGTAAGGAGGAAGTACCTGGTGAAGACGAAGCATTAGGGTGCTAAAGAAGCTGCAGTAGCGAAGTTGGCCCAGTCGCGGTAGCGGGTTCAGGTTCGGACTAGTAGGGGTGCCTCTGCTGCCCTCTACTGCCCAAATGAGTGACTAGGGCGGTCTCAGGCGGCTTCTTCGAACATCTCCATTATCTCAGTCCCCAGTAGGAAATGCCCTGTTAGACATGGATCTTGCGTTTTAAGTATCTCTCAGCAGGTCCACGCAGTAAGACTGGAAATAGATGGCATAAGTCTTAAGTTTTATGTGTATTTCAGACTTGGGTTGATATTTTTGCTTATTTTTAAAATACTCAAAGATACGTGGTCAGTTACTAATGAGTTTTGTTACAAAATTTATTTGAAACTAGGACTAGGAAACACTTGTTTCATATTTCTACCAAAGTGTTTTCACGACTCTTCTCACATTAATGAATGATATTTCCTTTTTCCAGGGAACGGATTCGTAAACTCAAGAGCTTCTCCAAATTTGATTGGAACTACTGGTGCAAACAGTTTAGGCAAAGTTATGCCTACAAAGTCTCCCCCTCCTCCAGGTGGTGGCAATCTTGGAATGAATAGTCGAAAACCAGATCTTCGAGTTGTCATCCCTCCTTCAAGCAAGGGCATGATGCCTCCACTGGTACGTTAAATTTTTCTTCAGCTTATTCTTTAAAAATACAGCCAGTCTATATTTTTCTTGGAATTTTCTGTACTTCCATAGAATCTAGACCCTTTCTTAAGGAATATTTCTATTTGAAGTTGGCATTTGAAGAGATCGGTCTATTTTAAATACACAGAAATCAGATTATAGAAAAACAGGATGTAAATATGCTTAGTGGTTATTTAAAATTAAAGCTAAATGGGGAGAGGTTGTTAGGCTTAATTTTAATTTTACCATGCTGGTCTCTTAGCTCAGAGATTCCATCACCAAAATCATAAATTAAACCTGACTTAAATATTTCTTCTATCTTGACTTTACATACTTTCAGTAATCGATTACACGTGCTTTTCTGTAGGAGAAACACTATATTGTCAGTGTTTCTACATACTAGAGAGAACCACTGTAGAATAGGGAATAATGCATCAAAACTTGAATGAGTTATTCTCCAAATAATCTTTCTTTGTTTATTCCTTCTCAAATAACCTTCCCATTCAATTCTATAAAGAATACAGGTCTCCCCACCCCAGCCCTTGGCAATGTCTTCATAGTTCCAGCGTCATATGCTTTTGAATCCTGTGTTTATGAAGAAGAGGAGAGTGTGTTTATCTCCCTTAGCTTCTTATTGAAAAAAAATCAGAATATGTTTGCAAGTTTTAAAACCATTCCTAGTATAGCATGGCTTGACTAACATGCAGTGTGATATGCCAGGTGTTCTCTCTGTAGTGCAGCACTATTTGATTTTTTGCTAAATGAAAGTTGATGCCATCAGGCTTTAGATAATCTACATATGTATAATGCTTTATAGTTCCCAAACATCTTCATATGCATCGTCGCATTTGATTGTCAGTTCTGCTATAATCTTGGCTGAGTAGAAATGAAGAAACTGAAGGAGAAGTTAGTACTTGTCCAAGGTAATATAAAAGAGAGCCAGGACCAAAACCTCTTAAGTCAAGAAACAAACGAGTAATTTTTCATTTGGAGATAGAAAGCTGGAAACTATGTTGCTCCCAGCCTTACAAGGAAAACGAGTTGGACAAACAAGTTCCCAGTTCTCCTTGAGTAGATTGTAGTGCTGAGATTTCATGGCTCCCAAGTGGCCCGGACTCTAGGGAGAGACAGATACTGCAGGGAGAGGACATTGGAGCCCTGGTTTGTGTAGGTAGGACACAGGTAATGAGAGTTCAGCTCAGATGCTTGGTGAATTGCTGGAGGCCAGGTGTTCCCTGGCAGGCCCATGTAAAGCCCTAATGTTGGGACATAGGGGGAGTCCAAGTTCTTTCGGAGGCTTTTTCTCTGTGAACCCCACTGGGTACTCACAGAAGAGATTGGGAACGTCCTGAAAAAGCCTCCACTGTGGTGTGTGGCTGGGAAAGGGGAAGAGCAGCCCCTGTGATAGGGACCAAATGTGCTGCCTAGACCCTTCTCCCCTTTCTGTCCTGTGGACCAGAAGTCTTAATCTGTGAGGAGATGAACAAAAAGTGTCACCCTTTGGGCATTGGTGACCTCCCATTGTATCTCGAGAAATGGAAAAGGAAAGCCATCTGAAGCTGTGGCAGAGGGGCAGGAACAATGCCGGGAGCATGGCAGGACACCCAAGAAGGAGGAAAGGCTTTGACTGAGAGTGGAGCAGCCTCTGGGGAAAACACACACAACGCCTGGCAAACCAGCGCTCGTTTCCTCCCAGGGGGCTGTGAAGACCAGGCTGGATGCACTGAGGGTGACCATTGCACCGGTGAAGCTCAAATGCAGCCCGATTCCTAATTAAATTAAACTGTGCACCAAAGACCTAGCAAGAGGAAAGGCCTCTTGGTCTGTAGGTCAGTAGAGTTACCCAAACTACAATACAAAGAGAAAGAAGAGTGAAAATAAAACAAAAAGCAAAACAAAGCCTCCAAGAGCTCTGAACTTTGATCAGGTGGTTTAACATTTTTGTCATTGGAATTCCAAAAAGAGGAGAGAGAGAACAGAGAAGAAGAAATAGTTGAAAAAAATAATAAGACCAAGTAGGACAAATACACACATTCAGATTGTTAAAAGCAAAGGACAACAAGGAAAAAATCTTAAAGGCAGCCAGAGAAAAGAGAAGAACAAAGATGAGAATTTATACCATACTTCCCTTCAGAAACTCTGCAAGCTACAAAACAGTGGAGTAACCTGAAGTACTGGAATTCAAAACAAAAAACCCTCAACGTAGAATTCTGTATCCAGCAAAAATGTCTTTCAGAAGTGAAAGAGAAGGGGTGCCTATGTGGCTCAGTCGGTTAAGCATCTGCCTTCAGCTCAGGTCATGATCCCAGGGTCCTGGCTTCGAGGCCCACATCTCACTCCTTGCTCAGCAGAGAGCCTGCTTCTCCCTCTGCCTCTGCCTGCCTGCCTGCCTGTTCCCCCTGCTTTTGCTCTATGTCTCTCTGTGTGTCAAATAAATAAATAAAATCTTAAAAAAAAAAAAAAAAGAAATGAAAGAGAAATAGAAATTTTCTCAAACAAAAATCTGGAGAATTTATTGCTGGGAGATCTGTTCTAAAGAAACGCCGAAGGAAGAGGGACTATGATACCAGCACAAACTTGGATCTACACAAAGAAATATAGAACAATGGAAATGAAATAAATGAAGATAAAATAAAACACAATTCATTTTCCCCTACATTTTATAAACCTTGTATTTTAGATTACAAAGATAGTACCGAAAGTTCTCCTAATGCTTCACACCAGTTTCTCCTATTATTAACATCTTGCATTAGTATAGTACATTAGTTACAACTAACGGGTCAGTATTGATACATTATTATTCACCGCAGTTCCATACTTTATTCATTTTTCCTTAGTTTTTAACTGCATGTCTTGTTGCGTTCCGGGACCCCATCCAGGACACCACATTACATTTAGTGGCCATGTCTCCTCAGACTCCTCTTGGCTGTGATAGTTGCTAAGACTTTCCTTGTTTTAATGACCTTAACAGTTTTGAGAAGTACTGGTAAGGTATTCTGTAGAATGTTCCTCCATTGGGATTTTTTCTCATGTTTTTCTCATGATTAGACTGGGGTTATGGGTTTCGGGGAGGAAGGCCACAGAACTAAAGTGCCATTTTTATCACCCATACAAAGGGTACATAGTATTATTATGAATCATTACTATTGATGTTAACCTTGGCCTCCTTGCTGATGTATCGTTGCGTGGGTTTCTGTGCTTCTTCCTTTCCGTACTGTCCTCTTTGGAAAGAAGTCCCTATGCAAGGTCCATACTTAAGGAGTGGGGAGTTAGGCTGTACCTCCTTGAGGGCGGAATATCTACATCAATTATTTGGAGTTTTTCTGAACAGGTGACTTACCTGTTTACTTTCATTTATTTTATGATTTATATTAATACAAACTTACGGACATTTATATTTTGGGTAATAATACTCCTAAATTCTGTTTATATATAGTTCTACCAATACTGTTTTATTCGTTTGCTCATATTCCAGCTCTAGCTATTGAGGAGTGTTCAGTTGGTTCCTGTGCATCTGAAAACACACCTTCATCCTTGTGGGGTTTTTTTTTCGGGGGGTGGGTAATGGAGGAAGTTACTTTTAAATTTTTCAGTTACTATGAAATGCTCTAGGCTCATCTTGTATATTTCCTGCCCAAGTCCTAGAATCAGTCATTTCTCCAAGGAACCTTGGTTCCTTTTTATTGGAGAATGGTTTAGAAACCAGAATCCGAGCATCTTTCTCTTTTTAATTGCTCTAAAAGATCACTACTTTCTAAAGCAAAAATAGTGGGAATGAATTTTGTGCTTATAACACATGTAAAAATAGAATATAGGACAACAAAAGAGAAGCAAATTGTAAATACAGTTGTAAGCATCTAATATGATATCTATTTGAAGGTGAACTCTAATTAACTAAAGATGTATGTTACAAAACCTAGTGCAACTACAGAAAACAATCTTAAAAGAGGTATAAAAAGTCAATAGAGGAGATAAAATGGAATTATAAAAAAAAAATGCTCGAATAGCCCAAGATATGGGAGAAAAAAGAAAAATAAAGAACAGATGGGACAAATAAATAGATAGCAAGATTGTAGATTTTAATCCAGCCATACAAGTAATCACACCAAATGTGGTCGTAAACATCAGTTAAAAGACAAAATGTCAGATTGTTTAAGAAAAGGAAGATCATACTATACACTGTCTACAGAACCCTACTTTAAATATAAAGGCATAGGTTAGCAGATAGAGAAAACATACTGAGCAAACATTAACCACAAGAAGGCTAGTGTAGCCATATTATTTCAGACAATGTAGATTTCATAATAAGGAATATTACCAAGGAAAAAGAAGGACTTCACACAGTCTGTTTTCCAAGAAATAAGTTATCTTTAATGTATACGCACCTAACAGCACACCTTCAGAATTCATAAACCAAAAACTGATGGAACTAAAAGGTGAAATAGAAAAATCCACAATTGTAGTTGGAAACTTAAACACTCTTCTCTCAGTAATTGACAGAACAAGTAGGCAGAAAAATCTGTAATGGTCTAGACAACCTGAGCAATACTCAACCAACCTGACCTAAGAGACGTTTACAGAACACTTCACAACAGCAGAACATAACATTTTTCTTAAGGGCCCTTGGAACATTCACTAAGATAGACCATTTCCTGTGCCATAAAGTAAACTTCAACAGATTTCAAAAAATCAAAATCATACAGATTATATTCTCTGATCATAATGAAATCCATAACAGAAAGGAAAAATCTTTATATATTGAGGAAAAAACACACTTTTAAATACCCCACGGGTCAAAGAGGAAATCTCAGGAGAAATTATAAAATGTGTGTGTGTGTGTGTGTGTGTGTGTGTAACTCAAGGCATTGGATGTTTATATTAGAAAAGAGAAAGGTACCAAATCAGTAAGGTTTTACTTAAACTCAAGAAAGAAGAGCAAACTTAACCCAAAGCAACCAGAAGAAAAAGAGCAGAAATTAATGAAATTTAAGACAGAAAAACATTAGAGAAAAGCAGTCAGACCAAAGCCTAGTTTTTGATTGCTAAACTTCTAGCCGAACTGACCAAATTAAAAGAGAAGGCATGGGTTATCAATATCAGGAATGAAAGAGGTACTGGCAAAAAGGTGGGCACATAGATCAATGGACAAAACAGAGAGCCCAGAAAATAGACCTACACAAATATATTTAGTTGTTTTTTGACAAAGGCAGTGAAGCAGTTCAATGGAGAAAGGATAGCTGGTACAACTAACTCTGTTGGAACAATTCAGCATCCATATGCAAAAATGAAACCTTAAAATATAACTCATACCTTATACAAAAGTTAAAATGTAGCATAGACTCAAGCATAAAATACAAAACTCTGAAACTTTTAGAAGAAAACATTGGAAAAAAAAATACACCAAAAACATGATCCATAAAGAAAATTTTGATACATTGATGCTGTCAAAATAGTTTCACTATCAAAAAAGTTTTACTCTGTAAAAGATCCTATCCAGAGAATAAAAAGACAACCTAGAGATTAGGAGAAACTGTTTGCAAATCACTTATCTGATAAAGGACTTGCTTCCAGGATGATACAACTATACATCTGTTAGAATGGCTAAGATTTAAAAAATAAAAAAATCAGTGATACTGTGATAGCATTATATGGCAACAGATGGGAGCTACACTTAGGAGCACAGCATAACATACAGAGTTGTTGAATTGCTGTGTTGTACACCTGAAAATAATGTAACATTATGTGTCAGCTCTACTCAAACAGGTGTCTGGGTGGCTCAGTGGGTTAAGTGTCCAACTCTTGATCTCAGAATCACCAGTTCAAGCCCCACTGAGGCCTACTTAAAAACAAAACAAAAACCAAAAATACTAAAATGTCAAGTTCTGATAAGGATGCAGAGCAACAAGAACTCTGATATATTCATGCTTGGAATGCAAAATCATACACCACTTTTGGAAAACAGATCAGCAGCTTCTTAAAAGTTAAATATATACTTGTCATACAACCCAACAATCCTCTCCTAAAGAATTTACCCAAATGAATTGAAAACTGTGCTTACAGGAATCTGTATTTTTCATAGTTGCCAAAAACTGAGAACAACCTAGATGTCCTTCCAACAGATGAATGGATGGATATACCCACTGTGGTACATCCAGACAAAGGAATACTGCTCAGCAATAAAAAGGGATGAGCCATTTATTCACAGCAGTATAGATGAATCTTAAATGAATTTTGCTAAGTGAAAGAAACTGGATCCAAAAGACTACATAGCATGTGATTCCATTTATATTTTATTCTGGAAAATGCAAAACATATCAGCGGTTGCCAGGGACGGAGAGAGGAGTTGACTACAAAGGGAATTTGAGGTAAATTTTTGAGGCGATGGAACTATTCTGTGATCCTGTGTTGTTGGATGTACATATGAGTCTGTGCTTTTGTGCAGTTAAAATCAACCAGGATTCCAGGGGGAATTGAAGACAGAATATAGACCGTGACACATGAATGTCAAGTGTAGTGCAAGTCTGTAACAGGGTGATACAGAAGGGGATGGGGAAGGAGTGCTCAGTAACTTTGGAAACTGTTTTAACTCTAGATAGAGAAAACCAAAAAATTGTAGGAAAGCATTGCGCTCAAGATGGTACATTTGTTATACACACACACACACACACACACACTCTCAAACAGTGAATGTGTTGTAGTTAAAGCTGGGTTTCTCGTTGGGGGAAGAAAAAGTTACAAATAAGCAAGGTGGGTGGGGGTTGGGGAAGGCTACAGTGAACCCTTGTTTCTGGGTTGTTGGTGGAGGTTTCAGTATGAACTTAACTTTCTTAACATATATAGATAGAGAAATATAAATGTGTATAAACATAAATAGTATACATCATATATTTCCTAGCTCATCTGACAGGCCCCTTCAGACAATGACATCTGGTAACCGAGCACACCTAGTACTCAGATCTTAGTTTCTAAAACCTTCTCCAATAAAAGGAATCAGGACTCCTTGGAGAAATGATTGATTATAGAGCTGGGGCGATGAAAACACTGGATGAATCGGAGGTGCCAGAGGATAAGGAAGTGCAGGTGAAAAGGTTACAGGAACCAGCCTTTCAGAAGAGCTCCTGTGGCCCAAACTAGAACAATTTAAGCAACAAAATAAGTAACAACACTATTGGATTAGTACCCAAGGAATAAAAAATACCAAGTCTGTTATTGATAAAAATAAATGATCAAATACATAAATGGAGAAGGGACAGCTCTCCCTTAGAGAAGAATTCTAATTATTACATGTAGAAAGAATGAGAGAAATAGCAAATCATCATTGTAACTACCACAGTACAGAGATCATGGCCACACAGGGTCAATGGATGCTAAAATGAGCGAAAGTTTAAGGAGAAACAGGGTATTTGCATAGCCTCAAAATGTCTCTCCCCAAATAATTGATTACAAAGGGAAAAGTAGTAATTTTGCAGTGGGGAATCCTGGAAGACACGACTTTAACCAGGCAATCGAGCTTAACATCACCGATAATGGAATGACATAACCTTCTGATACGATGTGCTAAGAGGGTCACATCACCTCTTTGGTACTCTTCCAAAAATCCATGCTATCTGAGAAAATCTAAGCCCCAAATTATGGGACATTCAACAAGATATCCACCCAGTACTCTTCAAAAGTTGTTGAGGTCATGAAAAATGAAAGATGGAGGGAATGGTCACAGACCAGAGGAGACTAAGGGTATGTGACAGGGAAGGGCATGTGGGATGCAGGATCCGGTCCTGGAGCAGAAAAGGGACATTGGTGAAATCCAAGTGAAGTCCTATAGCTTCAGTTACTGCTGCTGCAGTAACTCAGGACTGCAAAACTCTGTTAGTTTTGACAGTTGTCTCATGTTTGGGATGTAGACCTGGGTGGGAGTGATGCTGGGGTATGTGATAGTATGTTTTCTTTGCAACTGCTCTCTAAGGATATGATTATTGCAGGATACAAAGTTAAAAATATATACATGTATAACAACCCCAAAAAGAAAAACATTTGGGCATTCAGGATAGTCATTTGGCTCACCTTTCAGGAATGGGATGTGAAATACCTGCTTCTCTTTCAGAAATATAAACTACAGAAAGTTTCATTTAAGGCTCAGAAATGTGTTGATAAGAATTATTAGTAAACTGCAGAATGTAAGGACAAAACTGCATTTAGGCATTTAGCAGCTGGTCAGGGTTATCTCTGCCTGGTCTTTGTTTCAGAGATCATGAAGCATCACTGCAGAATACTCAGAATTTGCCATATAAACTATTTTACACCCTTGTCCCTGCAGGTTCAAGTGAAAACCATACAGCACTTACCCGCAGTATTTCCATGCATATCTTGTAGATGGAGGAATGTGAAGATCTGTATAACTCAACAGCTGAAGAGCATTTTACCCACATTTGAAATAGCAATTGTAGGCCAGGTGATTGTTTTTCAGAGTAGATAACCAGCCTGCCTATTTTACAGTTTGTTTGCAGGTAAACTGGCTTTCAGATTGGGGTTTCCTCTATCAATGATGTTTATACAGACACCTTCCATAGATTGACAGAAAAGCTTGACTTCTTTAAGTAAAATAAAACACTATTTAGTCGATTATTTCTAGCCTATTAGTATTTTCTAAATGCTTAGAGAAAAGGAGCAAATATGTGTCCTTCATTTCTTTTCTGGACATGATTTATCAGTTCATTTTTCTTCCGTCTCATTTGCTTCATACGTGTTATTGTTTTCTGCAGTGAAATTATACATATGAAAGCTGTATTTGCATCTCAATCTTTGTTATTCAAAACTGTTACTAACAAATGTTTGAGTTCTTGTTGTTTCATAACTGTGCTAGCTGTGGTGGGAAATCAGAAAACAAAATAATTCCTGCCAACCAAAGAGCACACATCTAGAAGATATTTAATAATGGACATGTGTAGCCAGGTGGGCTAGGGATGGGAGGATGAAGTATTCTCAAGGTTTCAAGTATAAACTGGGATCATGTTTAGGAACTCCTTTTAAACTAAATAGTTGCAATCGCCTGGCCATGTGCGGGTGAGGCTGACTCAGGAGCAGACTAAGCCGGGGAGCAGGGACAGCTTTAAAGCCTGGCCTGACTAAAACAATCTTTCTTCTGAAATCCGTTCCCAGTGGAGAGACAATAAATAATTTATATTTGTATTCATTGCATATATTTAATCATTTCTTTAGAGTTCCAGGCAACTGCTAGTGTCCAAATAACATGTTTTTCTAAAGAAATATTTTATTTTTGAGTATCAACAGTCTTAGTAACTCTCGTATCCCTCTCATGTGCTGAGTGCAGTCGGAGGAAGAGGAATTGGAGTTGGTGAGTGTGTGTTTCTGCTTGAAGGGAGTTGCAAAAGATCTAGAAAGTACTAATTCTCTTAAATGTTTTTATCTAACCAGTGTTCCCTTTGTTACACAGTTTTTCTTGCTGTTCTTAAACACTATCCGAGCACTTTTAATAACTGAACCAATCTACTGGTACTGCAGAGTCCATCTCGTTTTTCTATTTTATAATTATATATCTTGACCCATTTTGTTGGAGGGAACATTGGAACAGAGCCTTTAAAACAATAGCTGTCAATGATCACAAGACACTTGTTACAGCTTTTTTTTTTTAAGAAAAGATACAAAATACCTTATATAGTTCCCCAAATTATTAACATATTTTTAGAAAATGACTTCACCCTCAAAGTTCCTCAGATTGTAACACATGGTCTTGTGTTATTTCTCTTTCTTTCAAAAAGATTACATCATTTTTGGTGAGGTCACCTTTTTCAGAGTTGAAATTATTTCATACTGCATGAGACGATCTGAACCATAAGGGGGGGTTCCCTGTTTGCTGAAAGGAATATCTGTAATTTAATATACACAAATTTACTTTTTTCTATCAGGACATACTCTGTTGTTAAAAGTAGCTATTACCCTTTGTCTTAAATGATTTCTATTGGCTTTTCTTCTAGAAAATAAATTTAACTAAAAATAACTCTCTTCTTTGGGGACTAAAACCCAGAATTCACAGAAATGATCATATAAATTCAAAGTCAGTTGCTAATTAGTGACTTTAAGGGGGAAAAACTTGAAAATGTTTAGTTTGTAGCATGGACAAGGGTTCAGATTGCATGAGAGCATGGGGGGAAGGCATCTGTTTTATTTATACTTTATTATTACATATATATGCATGCTGGTGTGTTTTGCACCGTTTATGTCTTTTTAGATAAGGTTGTCTGTGCTCTGTCCTTAAAATAGATCATCCTTTAACTTTGTGATCACTCACAGTTTTAGATGTGGTTTTGTATTTAGTAAACTAAAATATACAAGTCTGCCATCAGTTGTGGTATTGGATTATATCATGTGCAGATTTAGACCTTCTTCTGGGGAGATACTTTACTTAGTGATACGGTAATAATTAGAAAATGGAAGTTTATAATTCAAGATAAAATAATTTGACTATTTACCCTTAGGAAGTTGTCACAAATGCTTCCTTTCAATTCTGTAGCAGTATGTTGCCCTCTAGTGGTCCCACAAGTCTCTTACTCAGAAAAATCAATGCCATTGACATTAGGAGCTTTGATGCATGGAACCGATACAGTGGCATTCACTATTACACACATGAGGCCATGCCAGAAGATTGCCTTGGAAATGAAGTCCTGCCATGGATAGAGCCAGGCCAAACTGGGTCATGCTGTGTTCTTTTGCCTACTGTCTGACTCTTGAGTTTCCAGTGATCAAATCTTAGATTAAGTCCAAAGTGTATCTCTACCTCAAAAATTCATTAAAATTATTAACTTGATGCTGAGATGAAAGGGTATTGCCACTTACCGTACACTGACTTCCACCCACTTAAAGTTCACCCCCCAGATAGAGTCTCAGAGATAAATTTCTCTAAATCTTTGAAAACTACAAAATGAAGAAATAAAAAATATTTGTAATTAAGAAACAAAGACATAACCAAAAACCGTAAACAGTTCATGTTCTTTAAAACTTAAGCTGATTCAGACTCTAAAACTTAATCAGTTTTAAATGCAGAGCTTTGTGGTCAGAACCAAAATATGATCCCAATGATTCTTAGCATTTAGAAAGTTGTTCAGATTGGTTTGAAATCTCAAATATAATCCTGGATGGCTCGGACCCAAAGTGAGGAAAAACAGGAACCTCCACTAAAGACTCTTCTGGTGAGAGGCAGACTGCTGACATTCCTTAAGAAGCCTTGCTGTTCTAAAGCGCCTCTACTCCAGGGTTGCTCCAGGGGCCATACCTGTGGCTCCGAAGTTATGTGGCTCCGAAGTTATGTAGAAATTTGTCCCACCAGTTATGTAGAAATCTTGGGCCAGAGGGTTTCTTGGGAAGATCATTTAAGGATACTATGTTATATTTGTGTAGTACTTGAGTTACCAAAGCACTTCCCACCTCTTGGCTCGCTAGAGCTTCACAGTGGTGCACAGGCCGGCAGCACAAAGATCACTGTCTTCCCTACTGTACAAACAGAGGTTCAGAAAGGTGAAATGATTTCCCCCCTGCTTAGGAAGTAGTGAATTTGGGACAGAAACACAGGTGCTGTAACCACCTCCTGAATGGTCTTTCTTAATTAGAACAGAAACTTAAGATTGGGTGGAAAATACAAACTAATGAAATAAACTGAGATGATTAACATTCAAGTATCTAAATCTAGCCAAAGGCCCTCATCTGATTACCCTTTGGAAGTGGTGAGAGGGAAAATTGAATCACACTCTGTCTCTTTATAACCTCAAGGGCACTGAATGTACTTTCACTGATACGGCTTAGACCCCCAAATGTCATTATCAGGCTGTAACTTCTTCATTAAATACATACACACACACACACACACACACACACACACACATACATGTATAACCCTGGAGTAGTTGTGCTTTGGCCTTCTTGGGTGCTGACCCCATGGATCATGGAGTCCGTTCTCTCCCTCTGAACTTGGTTTTGGAGCGTTCCCTGAAGCCCCTGTGGTGAGAAGGTGTCGTCATCTCCCGACACGTAGGGGAGTGGCCATCTCAGGCTGACTTGATTATTCAGTAGTTGGTTTTTTTAAATTCATTGCCAGTGTGGATAGGATACTGTGTAGATGGAGTCGGTCAGCAAGCATTTAATATTGCTCCATTCACAGTCCTACGAAAAGTACGTTAGTCACAGGCTCTCTACGCAAAGCCTCTCGTTTCAGAAGAGTCAGGAGCCTATGCAGAGGGAAGCATATCTGAACCTGCTGCCAAGAAATAGGTCACTGGGTGGGTGGTGGTGACCGTGGGGGAGGCTGAGCATGTTTGGGGGCGGGGCACTTGCGGGGGGGGGGGGTGCGCGCGCGCGCATGTGTGTGCGTGTGTGTGTGTGTGTGTAGCAACTGCAGGATCACAGGGAAGGAAAACTGAAAGCAAGCTGTACTTCAGGATGCCAAGACTTAACACCACGTTAACATGTGAATGCTGCAAATACAAGTAGTTTTGATCCCTAAACTCATGGACTTACACTCTCAGGATACAAATGACTTTTGGCTCTCCTCAAGTCTCGAAAACCTAGGTGTTTGATTTGGGGCAGCCTGGTGTGGTGTTTGCAGTGCCTGCAAGTCCTCATTTATGGTGACACATCAAAGCATTCTCGCCCATAATGCAAGTTTCTGTTTTAAGGATATATCCTTGCCATCAATAAACACTATGAAAGACAAGGGAAAATGAATAATTAATGTACAACTGTGTCCCTTGAAATTAAATATTTAGTTGTTCCCATTAGTATTTTTAAGGTTTTTTTCACATCATGACTGCTTTAAGAAATAATGACATTCACATCATAAAACTGTGAAAAATGTCACTTTTAAATTGAATGTTATTTTTAAAATACTAGGCTTGAATATAAATACTCAAATAATGACACTTTTTTCTCTCTCTCACAGAATACCCAGAGGATAAGCAGTTCTCAAGCTACTCAGCCTCTAGCTACCCCGGTCGTGTCTGTGACCACCCCGAGCTTGCCTCCACAGGGACTCGTGTACTCAGCCATGCCGACCGCCTACAACACTGGTGAGCCTGCTCTCTTGCCTTCTGTGGATTTTAGGTCTTTGTTTTGTGATCAACATGTGCTTCTGTGATTTTTTTAAAAGTATATTGATTGAAATAAATTATTTCCAGTTCTTTAGGTTCACATTTGAGTGTATTAAAAAACAAAAGTTAGCTTTGAAAAATGTACAAAAAAATACATTGATTGGAGAATGATTTCCCAGTGTCAACTTTTACTTACCCTTGACGAAGAAACAGGTAGCTGTTCCCAGAATTACGGCCTGTGCGTCAAACCAGGGAGGAGGAGAGACTGCTGCTTGGCATTTTCTCGGTCGTGTCTCATTACACAGTATGCCACTCCTCCAGGCTGGTGAAGGGAGACCGTTTTCTCACCTGTGTTAACCCACTGGCAGAAAGACGGAATCCCCTGGGACTCAGGACTCCGAAATGTGGCAGATGTGTCGCTGCGCCGGGCAGGTTGTGTTTTCCTCTGTGTAACTGCCTGGTTTTGTTTCTGTCCTTTGTGCCTTAGGAGCCAAACCGGGACCTTTCTTGTTTCTCCTCAGAGCCAGTCACTCCTCCCTTCTGAGAGGAGCTTCTCACTCATTTATGTTTATTTAGACATTTCATTTTAAAATACCCTGTTTCGGGGGTTTGGTAGGCAAAGTTAGCACTGCTGAGTGATCGGAGGGGCGCTCTTAGCCACGCAGGCGGTCTGCAGAGGCCCAACGTGCAGCAGGTTTCTTCCAGATTAGCCGTTCTGAGGAGAGGCCGAAGGCCGGCGCGTGTGGTTTCGCTTTCTCACCCGCTGAGCCAAACACCTGATGCTTCAAAGGAGGAAGGAAAGAAGGAAATAGTTAAATGATACCTTGTCAGTTATTCAGACTGCAGTGCAGGGCATTCATCCTTTCATGATTCTTCTAAGTAGACTATAATAAAAATCATCTAATTTTAGACTTCAGAGTAAATGCTTTAGCACGGTGCTTTCAAACTGCTGTCTGAAGCTCCCTGAGGCCATTGATACATTTGATTGTCACTTTAATTCCATGTAGTTCATTTAAAACAGAATTTTAAAAGGTTTTGTTGAAAAAAGAAAGCCTCTTAGGAAAATGTCCACTACCTTTTCTAACAATCAGTATGAAAAAATGTCCAAATCTATTAAGTGCAAATCTAGAGTAAAGCAAGAGATAACACATCCATAGAAATTCTGTGTCCTTGCAGTGATCATCAGCTGTATGAGTGACAGTATGCCAGGGATGGAGCTTTTGTCCCAGATTCATGCCAGCTAGGGAGACAGGATGTACCTGAGGTGGCAGCTCTGGAGGTGAAGTCCTGAGCAGCGGAGCTTAGCAGTTTGCACTCTTGAGAACGTGAGGAAAGAGGGACACGTACAAGCTGAAAGGTTCAGAGGAGCACGGGCGGCAAAGATGGGGCTTGAACTGGTTCGAAGCGAGAGCAGTTTCCTGAGCACTTCATGACAGGTTTTCCAGTATACGTAGACGTTCCACTGTGCATGCTTTTAGACATGCTATTGGATTAGCAAGAACTTGTTTTTTAAAAGTCCAGAAGGAATTACCAAAACATAAAAACAGAGTCCGATTCTCTCAAAACTATCAATCCCTTGGCCTCAGTCTCATTCCTTCTTTTCACTGACTTGGTCTCTATGCTCTTTTCCGGAGCATGTCTTTGGCTTAATTTTAAACAATATTATTTTTACTGTATTTAGTTGCCCTTTTTAAACACATGTCCGTTTTCATCTTTCTCTAGAATGTCATCTGCCTTTCTGTACATAGAGTCAAACTCACACCAAATGGTCAGGAAAGGGATGAAGAGATGAGCGACATTTCAGAAAGTACAACAGTTTTTATGTGGAGGAATCCCAGATACTTCCTCATGCCCATCAGTAAGGTCACGCCTAGCTTCACAGACCTGCTCGCGCATCCATTCAACACATATTTATTGAGCACTTGCTATGTGGCAGGTACTGGGCCGGGCACACAAGAGTGTATGGTTGCCAGTGGAGAAAGACACAGGACTGACGGCTCTAGGAATCATTTATTATAGTCATGTGAAGAGCTACTTGAAGCTTCACTAAAGGGGCACACATGATTCAGCCGGGCAGAGCAGGAAGAATGTTCCAGGGAGAGGGAGCACTGTGTACAAAGGCTAGCAGAGCGGAGCATGGCTGGAGGGATGGGGGGAGGTAGCAGGGTGTGTAGAGTTGAAACTATAGAGGTGAGTAACAATTTATAGGCCATGTTGAAGATTTTGGATATTGGGAGCACTGGGAAGCCAGAAAGTTTGAGGCAGAGAGGTACCTGGAGCATATTTGTTAACTTTAAGATCACTTTGGCTAGTGTTCATAGGGGCAGAACTGCGTGCCAGGAGACCACACGGGAGGGTAGCATGGTGGCCCAAGTAGTGGATCCTGATGGCTTAGCGGTGGCAGGAGAGCTGGTGAAACGGGCAGGTTTGAGAGAACACAGAGATCAGACCGGCCTTGGTGGGTGGTGGTGGAGGTAGGAGAGAAGGATCAAGAACACTCGCAGGTTTCTGGCACGGGCAACCAGGTGAATATCGGTGCCGTTTATTAAGATAAGGAGCAGGTTTGGAGGGGACGAGGCGGCCAGTTCGGGTGGCAAATTTGAGGTGTTTGGAGAGACATCCAAATGGGCATACCAAGTAGGTAGTTGGGAGGACCTAGAGGTAGAGAGTTGGGGGCCGCAGGGGGCGCTGTGGAAGGCACCAGTGTGCGGGACCTCCCGTGCCGCCGCCTCGGGGAGTGGATGAGGCGGTCGGAGATCGTGGCATGAGCAGAGTGCAGAGGCAGGCAGAGTCCTAAGCACCAGCTATGTCCTTGCCACTCAGTCCCTTTTTTATTAGTGTTAATTCACTAGGAAGACCAGCTTCTTTAAATACCTCTCTTGAGACATGAGAAAGCAGTAAAAAGTAGAAGAGTTTTTGCCACCTCTCTTTAAAACTGTATGGAAAAGAGAAGTGTTAATGAAGAACTGAAATAGCTCGACGTGTGCATGATACCTACTGTCCTGAGTCTCGGCCAAAGTGATTATGACTGAGGCATTCAGAGAAAATGAGCTATATTCTCTATTATACTCTTGTCACACGTAAGTTTGTTCATGAAGTTGTGTTGCACGCAGTCCGGGATCTTCGACAGCCCCGTACTGTGAACGACCGCCGTTCATCAGTCGTGTGCTAACGTTTTCTCCAGGCCCCTGAGCTTGGCCCCGCACGAGAAGGGGTGCTCTGTCCTTCCTGCTCCCCGGTACTTCAAGAAGAGAAGAGCTGCTGATCGAGGCTCTGTCCCATCTGTCGCTCCTTTTTCCCCGGGGGCGGGGAGCGATGGGCATGTGTAAGGTGACAGCTGCATACGCACGTCCCTTAGCGATGGCCTGGTCATTATTTCTATTTACAAGTCTGGAAAAAGGATCTCAACTTTCTGTGAGCTAGGAAACTGTAAACATGTAGTACAGAGTTGAGACTGACTTTATTGAGATAATCCCACACAAGCAAATGCAGCTAGGACCTGTAAACCTCCCCAAAGAAAAACTGTTGTCGGTTTAGACCTGTGTCTTTTATGTTAGGAAGTACCTGGCTTCTCTCAACCGGGGAACTTTTGGAGCTACTCTGTGAAAAACGGATTTGCTTGGGCCTTCTCGCCCACACACGAGTAATACTTCTTCCCTTGTCCTAGATTACTCGCTGACTAGCGCAGACCTGTCGGCCCTGCAGGGCTTCAACTCCCCGGGCATGCTGTCTCTGGGACAGGTGTCGGCCTGGCAGCAGCACCATTTAGGACAAGCAGCCCTCAGCTCTCTGGTGTGAGTACCTAGAGATTGTCCCCGAGTCTCTCCCCCCAGCCCGTGCGCTTTATTTTTCTGTCGGTTACAGTCTTTTGTGCTGTTTACTGTCATGTGGCTGTCCTAGAATGATCTCTTTTTTACGTGGTACAAGTGTTTGGAGAAAATATTTCCTTTATGTGATTCTAGATAATAGCTTGGATACTGATCAAACTAGGCATTCCCTGAAGAGATCTGGGGAGCAAGGCTTCTCTACTGTGGAGGTAGAGGGACTCAAAATAGTAACCAAGGGGTACTGAGGCACAGACGTCTCCCACCTGCACCTCCCTTCTACCTACCAGCCAACCATTAAGCCACCCAGTCCCACCCCTCCTTTCCCACGTCTACATCTGATCCCAGTGTTGGAAGAAAGGCAGCTTAAAGGTATTCAGGCCCACCACCCCCCCCACACACACTTTTTTTTTTTTGCTTTGGTGGTTATCCGTGCACAAAGGGAATAGGAAAATAGCCAACACTCATGGAAGCCAACTGGGTCTGCTGTTGTGTCCCCTCTTCTGAGATGCTCTCCTCCACCTGGCCGTCATCCTGGTTCTCCCTCCTGCTAGCGCTCTCGGATACCCCCTGGGCACCACCGTAAGCTCGTCTCCCTCCTGTGCCCTCACCCTGCCCATAAGGAATGTTCTCTTTGTTGAACTCTTCTTAGTGAGGTTCGGTGTGTGCAGCGGGCTGGGATCAACCACATGAACCCCAGTAGCCGGATTCACACACAAGATACCCCACCCCTGTTGTTCCTCCCCTCCTGTCCACGGAGAAAGCCAAGGAGAGTTTCCTTCTTTGATTTTCTTGGCCCGTTGGCCCTCAGGGGGTCTGTTCGTCCTAAATGAACACACGGCAAGCGGAAAGGGCTTGGCGCGCAGACTGGGGGAGAAGCCTGTACACACTGCTGCTCTGAGCAAGTTGGCCTTCCGAGGCGGTTTCCTCCCCCTGGAAAATAGGGTCCGGTGGCGGCCTTCGCGTTGCCGTGCGCACAGATGAGCTGCGCCCGTCCCAGGGCCAGAGCAGAGAGGAAGCTGCGCGCAGGGCCCGTAGTCCTTCCCTCCCATTCTGCTCCCCGCGCAGCCGCAGACGCACAGTTTCGGCTCCTTTCCCTGCAGAAGGACCCAGGCCGTGGCCAGGGGAGCTAGACCCCAAAGCTCTCCACCGTCCTGGGCATTTTTTTCCTTCCACGGAGAGGGCATTAAAGGCAGTCCTGGGAATTCTGACGGGCTTCCAGTCGGGCGGTGGCTGCAGTACCATTCCGGTTATGCAGATGCACTCACCCACCGTCTAACATCTTTTCTTTCCTTCAGTGCTGGAGGGCAGTTATCTCAGGGTTCGAATTTATCCATTAATACCAACCAGAACATCAACATTAAGTCAGAACCAATTTCACCTCCCCGGGATCGAATGACCCCGTCAGGCTTCCAGCCGCAGCCGCCGCAGCCGCCGCCCCCCCAGCCCCCCCAGCCCCCCCAGCCCCGGCAGGAAATGGGGCGCTCCCCTGTGGACAGTCTGAGCAGCTCGAGCAGTTCCTATGATGGTAGTGACCGGGAGGACCCACGGGGCGACTTCCATTCTCCAATCGTGCTTGGCCGGCCCCCCACCACGGAGGACAGAGAAAGCCCTTCCGTCAAGCGAATGAGGATGGACGCGTGGGTGACCTAAGGCTCCCGGGCTGGTGTTCGTACTTCGTGATCTGCAGCGAACTGCCCTACATATCTACATCGGTAAATAAGGACATGAGTTAACTATATTTATACGTACATACATACATATATATCCCTTTATATATATATGTATGTGGGCGTGAGTGTGTGTGTGTGTGTGTGTGGGTGTGTGTTGCATACAGAATTGGGCACTTACCTGCCTCGTAGATCTGCAGATGTGCGTCCCATGGCAAACAAAGCGCCCTGTAGGCAGAGTCTAGTCTGGCACTTCCTTGGACTACTTGTTTCATAAGATAACCAGTTTTTGCAGAGAAACGTGTACCCATATATAATTCTCCCACACTAGCTTGCAGAAACCTAGAGGGCCCCTATTTGTTTTATTTAACTGTGCAGTGACTGTAGTTACTTAAGAAAAATGCTTTGTAGAACAGAGCAGTAGAAAAGCAGGAACCAAGAAAGCAATACTGTACATAAAATGTCATTTATATTAATTACCCAGCCTGGCATGGGTCTCTGTTGCAGAGGGGTGCATGGGAAGGGCTGTTGATATTTAAAAAAAAAAAAAACAAAAAACAAAACAAAAAAGCCCCACACATAACTGTTTTGCACGTGCAAAAATGTATTGGGTCAAAGAAGTGATCTTTAGCTAATAAAAAAGAGAGAGAGTAGAAAACACGCATGAGATATTCAGAAAATACTAGCCTAGAAATATAGAGCATTAACAAAATAAATTAATATATTAAGTTATAATTGGACTATGTCAGAAGTTTCTTTTTACATTCATATCTTAAAGAAACTGATTTTAGCTCATGTATATTTTATATGAAAGAAAACACCCTTATGAATTGATGACTATATATAAAATTATATTCACTACTTTTGAACACATTCTGCTATGAATTATTTATATAAGCCAAAGCTGTATGTTGTAACTTTTTTTTTTAAGAGAATAGCTTTATCTTGTTTTAACTTTTTAGTTTTATTTTAAGAGGGGAAAAAAAAAAACAAACAAAAATACCTTGCAAGCAGAACCTTGGAAAAAAAAAGCCATGAACACTTATTATTCTATATGTAAATTAAAAGTTGAGCCAAACTCTTTTGTGTATATAGCATCTTAAATATATGATCACCTTTGATGTAAGTACCTATGTATTGTATGGTCACCAGATTAAAAAGTATATTTTTGTGGATTGCCGCCAATTTGGGGGGAAAAGGCGAGATCCTTATTAAGTAGAGTATTCACTGTTTAATATTTACTATTTTGTTAAATATACTGTACTTTGGATTTTAATTATTAGCCCAGTCTTTTCAGAGGATTGTATAAAGGGGTTTCTCCCCTCACTGGTGGTGAATGTGTGATGATGTTACATTGTAATCTTTGTGCTGTATGGGTTGAGCATCATTATATATTTTATATGTGTACATAAATAGCAAAGTGGCAAAAAAAACGTGTTAAGTTCATCTTGCATAAATATAAAATGTGTTGTAACAGATTTTATAAGGCATTACTTAAAACTTGCCTTTTGTGAGGAAAAGAAATATAGTAGAAAAAGCTGGCCTAATTTAATATTAGAGAACATGGCAAAATAGTAGATGAGCACAAAGGTTTTATAAGTGGTAAATGATTAGGGAAAAATATTTGTGGGGGAAGGGATCTTTTTTTCCTGGCCCCTCTGAAATAGAACGATGCACCTGGTCACAAGATACTACCCTTCGCCACTCTCTGTGCATGGCAGTGGCACTTCGGTGGGGGGAGAAGCTCTCTCCCGGGCCCTTCGCTAGCCGGCATGGCTCACCGTCCTCACGAAACCCGGGCCGCACTCAGCTTAGCCTTTGAATGAGGCCTTCCTCCTACAGGAAGACAGCAAAGCCGTGATGGCAGGTTCGTCCGTTTCCTGGGCTTGTGCCACAAACAAAATTCAAAGTCCTGTATATCTTTCCTCATAGATTTTTAAATACTCCCTTTCCTGAGAAACTCAAAGTAAGGGTTTAAACATTGCTGCTATTTTGTATTTTAAACTTAATGTTGAGCAGCTACCTACAATTTTTTACTTACATTTTGCTTTTCCCCCTAAATTGCCTGCCTTCTGACATTTTCCTCATGCTATTTGTGACAAATCATCAGCCAGATTTCCTGACTGACACATGGGTATTAGGTACAGGGGAAACCTGTGGTGTTCACAGCTACAAAATGGATTCGGTTTTAGGAACAGTTTGGGTAGTAAATTTCAATAGAAGCCAAAAAAAAAGGGAGGGTGACGTGCTGTCTCCTCTCGTCAGGATGGCCGTTGGGCTCTTATTCAGAAAGGATTAGTTTCTCTTTAAAATGTACTTACTTTACTGAACCGCATACAGGCACGTTTCTTCATAAGGTCACACCTGATGGAAACAAGACAGTCTCCCAACACTGAATTTCCAAGATAATCCTTACCACTTTGTAAACCATTTATAGCTTTGAAAGTGTTAAGTGATTCTTTCGTTACTATTCATGCACGTTCATGAACTTCTGCTGTACATTGGAATAGGAGTTACCACATTCGCATTTACTGTCTATTTTCTTGTGTGCCTTATGAGATGGCTTTTCTGACTGTATCTCAATAGTCTTTCTTTCTATGCAGGTTTATAATCAGTACAACTACTGTTTTCTAAAATACTATTACACGAGGCTCGGAGTTTGTATTTCAATTACGCTGACCAAGTAACAATGTATTCCGTTTTCAGGAAGTGAATATTTGACTGTTAACCCTTTTCCTGTCTGCCCAGTGTGACCTGGAGCGTATGGACTTGACAGACACCCCTCACCCAGACTCCATGTACAAACACATACACATGCACATCTCCTGGTGGAAACCAACTCAGAGCGGGGAAGACACGAATGGTGTTTCTTTAGAACTGACTTTTCTTACCGTTTTAGACTCGTGTGTTTTGTATGACACCATCACAAGAAAATTTTATCCTTCAGATGAAGTATTTTATTACTAAAAGACAAAAACAAAAAAAGCTTAGAGGACACTGCACTGGTTCAAGTACGGTTTCCAACAGCTGTCCTTCCCTCAGTGCGCTAACCGGTCCTACATTGAGAGTGAGAGTCACCATTGTATGTCTGCAGATGGTCCCGATCGAAACTCCATCTTTTGAGCCCTAATTATGTCCATTGTGTTAGAGACTAAATCAGGGGTTTGTTCTGAAAGAACAACATATGTTTTACCATTTCCTTTAACTATAAGGACAACTAACAAAGCATTAACCTATTTTCTGTATTAACCATCGTGCGCACAAGAAATACATAGTAAATAAGGAACCAGAAAACTCCTGGCATTGGATCATAAGAAGCTAGATGATTAGAATGTGAAAAAGATTTTACAAATGTAAAACTTTTATTTCTCTGTAGAAACTTTCTTCACTTTGCTGTGCAAGAAGACACTGCTTTGCTATATTTAAAATGGCTTTTTTAAAAAGAGATTTATGTATTTGGTAAATGTTTGTAGTCAACAGTTCACACAAGAAGCTGTACACGGTTTGATCATGTAAAACCGTTTGGCGGCACAAGCTGGACTTTGTTGCCATCCTTGAGATGAACCTTTTAAGAAAAATAAGTTAATCTCAATTTTTCCCTGAATGTGTTGTTTTTTCTTCATTATACAATAAATATTATAGTGAACTTTTTATCAAATGGTTAAGAAAATGCTAGAGGTTGTTGTAAACTATTTGTATCCTGCACTCACTACAGTAAAGACGGACTGGCTTTTCCTGTGTACTCCAGACTCTGTCATGTTTGCCGCCAGTCGCCCCCGCCCTTGCCCCCCTCCCCCCCATGCCTCTCCTGTCCTTTCCCCTCACAAAGACCTTTTCCACCTGCAGATCCCCTTTACTTACTTTGAGGCTTAGTCAAGGAAACGGTGGCGGCGTCTTGCCAGCCTCGCCCATAGCTGCTCCTGAGAACTGCCCTCCTGGGCCGCCCGGGTCCCTGCAGGAAGCAGCAGGCCCTCCAGGGCCTAGCATCGGCCAGCCGGGCTGTTCTGCAGTCGGTGCGGATCGGATCGGATCGGGTAAGCCGCTTCAGGCTCTACTGACGACTGCTTGCAGGATATACTTGCGGGGGGCGGGGGGGGGGGGTGGTTACTGTTAAACGGAATCTAATGAACGCAAGTTCTGTCTACCCAAAATGCACACACAATACCGAGCGAGCGGCAGCAGAAGACAGATTTACTAAGTGAATTATTTTCAAAAGTGACAAGTGTGAAAACTTATCTTAAACTTGGCAGTGGAAAGTGTTCTCTTCCTTGGATTTGCCTTTTAAGCCAGCTCCTAACTGAGCTGTTTCTTGCTGTCAGTTAAATTAAAAGCTAAATTTTTGTGCTGGTTTTACTCGCTGGCTACAGTGAGGCTCTTATTAGCAGGTTTTGAAAGCTGGTTGAGTCCTGTGGCTAAAAATAGCCTAATCCCAGCTGCAGCTACTTAAAATCAATTCATTGCGATTTCCTGGTTCACTCCCGCGGGTGCCTTCCTCTAGGCTTTAGCCTGCTTTTAAGCTCCTTCTGGGCCTGACTGGCACCAGCCACGGAGAGGGGTGTTCAGTTGGAGCCCTCCGCCAGCTGGAGCCTCCAGGCTGCTCTCCTCTGCCCGACCAGTCGCTCGGCAGGGGCCCGAGCACCACCTGGTCGTAGAACTGCGGAAACCGGCGTGTCTCCCCGTCCTCCACAAAGAGTGAGGGGGGTCCAGAGAGGGAGCCGGAGCCAGCAGGCTAGTGTCGTCACGCCGCAGAGCGTGCTGAGCTCAGCGTGTGAGAGGTGAGCCCTGGTCCCCAGCTGTCCCAGGGTGTGAGCTGAGGACAAGCTCTTCTCGGCCAGCCCCCCGCCAGTGACTGCACACAGCTGGGGTACGCCCCTTCCCTCCTGCGAGACCTCTTTTGCGCTCCCAGCTCCGTCTGCATCTGCTTCCCAGACGACCCAAACTGACAAGCAGCTCACCCAGCTTTAGAGAACGTGTCCTAGACTTCAGTCACTTTCTGACCTCATCTGCCAGCATCGCTCTGGACCAAAGCAGCTGAAGGCAGCTGGGGAAGAAAATCAAAATCACAGTTGTACTAATTGGTTTCACTGTATACTCCCCCCCAACTCCCGTTTTTAAGCTTTTTTTAAACTTTACTTTGAACACTATCAGGAAACTGACCCTGTTACAGGACAACTAAGGCCCCCTCCGTCGTGGCCGGCATCACCACGCCCACCTGTAAGTAGCTCTGCCGCTGTGTGTGCCCCCTGGTACAGCGACGGGGCAGCCCTGCCTCGTGTTACTGGCCAGCACCACTGGGCCTGCCTGCAGCTAGAGCTGGTCCCTCCGGCCGAGGACCTTCATGCCCTCCTCCACCTTTTCTGCAACCTGACCCCTGTCACTGACCTCCACTGCAGTACGCTCGCCCAGGGGCAGCATGCTGACACTCGCGTCCTCTGCCACTGCCAGGGAGCCCATAGTTGGCCCTAGTCCTTGCCACCTTCCCTGACACCCATCGCTATGACTTCGTCTGCAAAGAGACCTACAGCCGGCCCCTCACAGCCGAGTGTGTGCACACCATTGGCCCCAGCCACCAATGCTGCCTGCCCTGGTCCCTAGCTACTTACTGGTTCTTGAGGCATGGCGGAGAAGCCCAGGAGCCCTCACAGGCACTGCACACCCCTGCGGTGATGACAAAGGGATATGCTGTCACCAAGAGCATGGGCCCCGGTGGCTTGAGCCAAAGAGCCATCCTGCCCCAACTGGACCTACTGCTACCACGCACCCCAGCGTTTGTTGCCCTGCACCACTAGACCTGGGCCACAACATGATCCACTGCACCCCTATCTGTAAGTGAAAGGCTTCTCTAACCAAAATCCGTCCATAACGTCTGGAAGTCTGGAAGAGGTGAGGGAAATGTCTCTACCAAAGGAAGAGTCCACTAACTGGACCCAAAGAAATAGAGATGCAAATATTGCCCAACAAAGAATTCAAAATAATTGTAATACAGATGCTCAAAGCTACAAGAGAACACAAAAATGATTCAACAGTATGAGGAACACAATACAAGAACAAAATGAGAAGCTCAAGAAAGAGAAAAGAACCAAATTTTGGAGCTGAAGAATACAATGAACTGAAGAATTCAATAGTTTCAACAGCAGAGTTGAACAGATAGAGGCAGTGGGTGAGAAGGCAGATCAGTTGAATTTAAGCAATTAGAGCAATTAGAAAAAATAATGAAAAGGAACATGCCAACAGGAGTTATGGGGCACAATCAAAAGAAAATGTACATATTACTGGAGTCTCAGAAGAAGAGAGGGAGAAAGGAATGAAAAGCTTAAAGAAATCATGACTGGGAAGAGAACTGGATATCCAAGTTCATAAAGCTTGGTCACCACAAAATTTCACCCCAAAATGTTCTCCAAGATACATAATAATGAAATAGTCTAAAACCAAAGAAAGAATTTTAAAAGCTGGAAGAGAAAAAAAGTTCTCTCAACCAAGGGAACCCCCATAAGGCTCTTAGTGGATTTATCACCAGATACCTTACAGCAAAGAGAGAGTGGAATGATAAATTCAAAGTGCTGAAAGAAAGACATTGCCAGCCAAAATACTTCACCCAGCAAAACTGTCCTTCAGAAATGAAAGTGAAATAATAAAATCTTCCCCTAATAAACAAAAGCTGCTAAACTTTTGCCACTAAACTACACAAGAAATGCTAAAAGGGGGGGGGGGGGCGCCTGCATGGCTCAGTCGGTTAATTGTCTGACTGTTGATCTCAGCTTAGGTCTTGATCTCAGGGTTGTGAGTTCAAGCCCTGTGTTGGGCTCCTTGCCCAACTCAAATTTATATCATAAAATAATATTTTAATGAGCCCACGTTAAATAAATTTTGGGGGGCACCAGGGCGGCTCAGACATTAAGTGTCTGCCTTCAGCTCAGATCATGATCCCAAGGTCCTGGGATAGAGCCCCACATCAGGTTCCCTGCTCAGTGGGAAGCCTGCTTCTCCCTCTCCCACTCTCCCTGCTTGTGTTCCCCCTCTCGCTGTCTCTCTCTGTCAAATAAAATCTTTAAAAAAATACATTTTTGGGGCGCCTGGGTGGCTCAGTCGTTGGGCGTCTGCCTTCGGCTCAGGTCATGATCCCGGGGTCCTGGGATCGAGCCCCGCATCGGGCTCCCTGCTCCCTGGGAAGCCTGCTTCTCCCTCTCCCATTCCCCCTGTTTGTATTCCCTCTCTCGCTGTGTCTCTGTCAAATAAATAAATAAAATCTTTAAAAAAAAAAAAAAAATACATTTTAAAAAAAATTTTTTTAAAAATGCTAAAAGGTGTTCCTCAAGCTGAAACAAAAGGATACTAACTAGTAGCTTCAAAACATATGGAAATATAGGACACACTGGTAAAGAGAAGTATAGAGTCAGGCTTAGAGTACCTTAACACTGTTAATATGGTGATGTGCTAGATAAAGATTCACCTAAAGATTAAAAGGCAAGGGGCGCCTGGGTGGCTCAGTCGTTAAGCATCTGCCTTTGGCTCAGGTCATGATCCCAGGGTCCTGGGATCAAGTCCCACATCGGGCTCCCTCCTCAGGGGGAAGCCTGCTTCTCCCTCGCCCACTCCCCCTGCTTGTGTTCCTGCTCTTGCTGTGTCTCTGTCAAATAAATAAATAAAATCTTAAAAAAAAAAAAAGATTAAAAGGCAAAAGTATGAAACCTAGGTATAGCTTTGACAGTTCATTAATGAATACACAATAAACAATGTAAATGGTGTCATCAAAAATGTAAAACAGAGAAGAGGATAGATTTTTTTATATGCAATCAAATTAAATTGTTATTAGCATAAAATACACCCTGATATCTATAAGATTTTTTATGTAAACCTCATGGGAACTCCAAAATACTACAGGAATACAAAGGATCATGAGAGACTATAAATAATTATATGCCAACAAAATGGATAATCCATAGGCTATGGATAAATTCCTAGAAATGTACAACCTTCCAAGACTGAAACATGAAGAACTTGAAAATCTGAGTGGACAAGTATAAAGGAGATTGAATCGTAATCAAAAACCTCCCAACGCGCGCACACACACACACACACACACAAAAGCCTCCCAACACAGAAAAGTACAAGACCAGACAGTTTCACTGGTGAATTTTACCAAATATTTAAAGAAGAGTCAATGACAATCTTTCTCAAACTATTCCAAAAAAATGAAGAGAAGGAAACACTCCCAAACTAATTTTACATGGCCAGCATTACCTGATACCAAAGCCAGATAAGGAGCCTACAAGACAAAATTACGAACAACTATACCTGATTAATATAGATGCAAAAATCCTCAGCAAAATATTAGCAAACCAAATTCATTACCACATTAAAAGAATCATTCACCATCAAGTGGGATTCATCCCTGGAATGCAAGGTGGTTCAACACACACAAATCAATGGATGGATGTTAGACACAGTAGTAGAATGAGATAAAAATCATACGATCATCTCAACAGATGCAGAAAAGGCATTTGACAAATACAACAACTTTTCATAATAAAAATGCTCAACAAATTAAGTATAGGAGGAAGACACATCAACACAACAAAGGCCATATATGACAAACCCACAGCCAACATCATAATGGTAAAAGGTTGAAAGCTTTTCCTCTAAGATCAGGAATAAGAGAAAGATACCTACTGTCACACTCCTAGCCAGAGCAATCAGTTAAAAAGATAATAAAAGGCATCCAAATAAGACAAGAAGTGAAAC